GGGCTTCAACTCCCAGAATTGCTGCCTGGAGAATTCTGGGAGTTGAAGCCCACTCATCTTAAAGTTGCTAAGGTTGAGAAACACTGGTCTAGAGTCAAGCCAGCATAAGTACAGGACAGAAGCAACTTAAAGGTGCAGTGTCCATTGTCTCAGTATTAATATCTGCCCATAGTTTAATCTGGCTTTCCATTTCCTGCCACTCTCCAGAAGGGTTGCCCTTACAGTTTCCAGAATAAAAATAATGCAACCACTGAGTGATTGGGTAAAATCTTGTGTGTGTAATTATCAGTTGTTATCAGTTTCATCCCTTCCTTTCTACCCCAGAACCAAAAAACATCTCTCTCACCGTAGGGGTAGAAGTCAGATATCTCAAAATCTTTTGGACAACATCTCCAGTAATCTTAGTTAGCAAAGACAATAGTCAGGGTTTATGGAAATATAGTCCAAAATATCTGGAAGGCACTTGGTTGTCTATTCCTGGTCCAATGATTATATGGGTTTCTTGCTTCTTATTTAATATTTTTTTCCATCTATAAATATTCACCTTGATCCTCTCCCCTTTAATATACCCAGTGGCATTTGGCATTAGCAGTCTTTGGATATAATGCTGATAATAATTTCATTATACCTGCTTTGCCCAGAAGCTACAATACTGTTACACAAGTTATTGCGCAATTACAAGGACTGAAACATATATTTTGACAGATACTGAATTCTTACTTCTTCCTATCCAACTTCAACTTCTCTCTTCATTTCCATTGCTGATTTCACATGACATAAAATTTGGATCAAGATGTGATTAGTGCTACAAGAAGTTTAGCTTGCAGTCTTTTGGAAAATGAAACCTTAGAATATGGCTTCTATTTTGCTTCCAGTCAAAAAATATAAATCAATATTTGCATTTAAAAACAACAACAGCAACATGTTGTGGAGATTGACTCATTGTTTGCCTTTTAGTTAGGCAGGAATACAACGTGGAGCTCATTGACACATAGTGGGAGACTTTGTCTGACATACAGTAGTTATTCACAGATGCCTCAATTTCAGTGTAACCTTTCTCTAAATTTCCAGTATAGTAACATTTTCATCAATGGCTCTAATGCCATAAATGTCTATGGGCAGGTCCTATTTTTGTCAACTAGTTCAGGGTTCCTCAACCTTGGCAACTTTAAGACGGGTGGACTTCAACTCCCAGAATTCCCTAGCCAGCAGCTAGTCTTAAAGTTGCCAAGGTTGAGAAACCCTGAACTAGTGGATAGTCTACACCAGGAAATGGACACAGGAGTGGGTTCCTGTTGAGGCTTTAATACCACTTGGATCCCATAGACTAGAAGTGTGGAATTTCTGTCAGCTTGATGGTTGTACCAGACTTCATGCAACACGTTGAACTCCAAAAATGGGTAGAGCCAGCATGGGTATTTTGGATGTGTTTCAGAAGATTTTAAGGGTGAAATAAGGTATCTTAAATCACTACAAAACCAAATGCCAACTTACCCATTAAACCTCTCCAAAACTTCAAAAAAGAGATTAAACTTTTTTAATCCAGCCAGTTGGGTTTCACTACATTCCTACCATAAATTATGGTATTCTTTTTAACTTACTATCTATTGGCGGCAATATTTTAAGTGGAGCTGATACCTTTAGAGGAACCATTTGGAAGGTGATGATAGCCCATCCCCTCCCCCCCCCCCACCCCCCCAAAACAACAATACCAAATAATCATATTGAAATCCTCAACGAAATTTTGTTTTATTTTAAA